AGAACTGTTTCTCATCATCAGATGCATTTCAAACTTTCATAATTTGATAACAATTTCTTTTTGTGTTCTCTTTTTTTACAATGCTGCTAAAGACGCTTTGACCTTTGTGATACAACAGTTTCTTCCTGATGATATTGTTTATGATTTGATATAAATGTATCGGTATATCTTTTATTTCTACTTAATTAGTTCACTTTTCAGGGCATAATTGTTCCTGTGTGTTTAACACGTTATGATAATGTCTAATTCGAATGCCTCATTTTGAGAAGGGTGAGATTACTAACCTGGCTTATCATATCATTTTATTGTCCTTGAACAATAGTAAACTTTGTTTTGTTATGAATGTCAACACGCAAGATCCCCTATGTTCCCTTCTTCCCTGTCGCGTTCTTTTCAGTTTGTCGTCCGCCGTATTGGCATTTAACGTTTAATATAGTACATATAAAACAGAGATAGCAAGTTTTGTGTTATAGTGTTACTTTCGTTTAACCATTTACGTTTTCGTTGTTGTATGTCATGTTAACAATACTATAAGCTGTTTGGCTACATATAAAACTCGTTGGATATTCGTAAGTTTATTCACACGAAGGTTGGTAAGTAAAGGCCATCCTCCATAACATATGACATAAGTAGCGGGTACTAACAACAAACTCATAAGCACATCAGAACATCAACAATATTCTTAGTTTCACATTAACGTAAAAACTGAATCTTAAAATGTATGTGTGTATGCGTACAGTAATTACAGTAACACCTTTACATCAGAAATATACATGAATGTTATAGACCGACAATCACCCCAGTAGTCTATATCTACGGCCGTTGCCCCGGACGCTTGGTTGCTAAGGTAAAACCACGTGACAGGCGGCCATATTTGTTAGTTGCCACGTAACCGGTACCCGAGTCGACAGTACGGAACATAGTACAATGGGAGGATTAGTCACAAACCTTTGAGTAATCCCTACAAAAGAATCAGATACAGATTTGTGAATGGGAGGGGAGAAAAAAAATTGGCTAGTGTATTGCATTTGAGATAGGGGACCGCATAATAATTTTAAGAAAGAGACGTTGTTAGGTTGATGTCATAAGGAGTTTAATTAACGATAGGTGTTCTGGATTCTGGATACACGTTGCCATGTTGGTTACTATGGTGACCGCATAGAACGAAAAATTAGGGTGAAGACGGACTGGTCAGTTCAGAATCATCGAAGCATCATGATCGGGGAGAGGTGTCATTATCGATCGGGTTGGGAAAGTGTCAAAGAGATTAAGATACTTTTGAATAGAACTACGAAAATGTTTAAGAGTCCGGGTATACGGCTAAGACAATGCTAGGGGGATTAGAGAATAATTGGTTTGTTTATTAGGGACACCCGTTCTGGACTCCACAGTCGGATTGTAATCGTCCTGGATATGTTAAGGTCACAGGAACAAAAGCATACGCGTTTTATTTAAAACACGGGGCGGTTGACCATGCGGTGACATTCAGGTAAAGGAACAGAACCATTGTCTTGTAGTTGAGATGGATCCGTACAGAGGGGATTAGGAGAGGGGAGACAATTACATACGGACGAATGAGTTGGTGTATGATGATGTCGGTATGGTATTAATTAACGTACTCGGCATTATGCGGATGAGTACCATCGAAATAAAGACTACGAAAGAATCCGGGTATACTATTGACTGCAAAACTAGAGTATACCATTTAGCTGAAGATCAGTGAAATGTAAATAATAAAGTAATACACTTAGAATTACATGGATGAGCGGGACAGGGATGTTACGACAAAAGGGCATGGCGTCTATCGCGTCTATCGCCGAACAGGTTCGTCACTGTCGATCGGATAAAATCGAACTATATAAACGCATTCGTGACCCTGATCAACATCAGGACCTTCTTCATGGGAGGGACTGACCTCCCGGAAAACCCGACCTGTTACGGGATTACCCTTAAACCTCTGCAGTGGCTGAACCTGTTAAGCAACATCGAAAATATCAACGCAAAACTGAAACCCGATGAGGATGAAGGGAGAAGGAATCAAATACTCCTAGAAGTGATCGCCGACACCATGTTGGATTTTGTGGAAGAGATTGCGAAGGAAAACTGCCATGGATGTAAGGTAAATCATCCCTCACAGATACAGCACATGACCAATGGGTGCTTATTGGAACAAGAGGAAAAAATCGCCTCACACTTCCAGGAGGCGAGGCAGAAACTTCGCCACGTTGATGCTAAAGTCAGTATGTTCAGGAAAGCACTGACGCTGACGGAGGAATCAGAGGAGGACAAGATTTGGGGAGAACTCAACAACAAACTGTTGAAGTGTAGTGACGAGGAAATCAAGGTGATGATGATGAGCGCCTCACGTGACTGGAATTGTATTATGAGAGTGTAAACAAACTGTGACAATAAGAATGAAAAAAAAAGTGTCAATTATCTGGAATATATATATATATATATATATAAATATATCAATCCGCCTGAAGAAGCCCTAGAAGGCAGAAAGGCCTAGCGGACGATCTGGAATTTTTTGTTTTTATTCTATATAAATATATATATATATATCTCAATTTTCTCTCTCTCTAATAACATATTGACTTTACAAACAAACGATGGTGAATATAAATACAATTATTAAAAAAAAAAAGAAATACATGAAAACATATTGTTGTGTTTTATTATTTTTATTTAAAAAAGTCCTTACAGTAATATCAAATTAAGTAAGAACAACCGTTTGATTATTAGTGGTATTTCAACTAGAATGTACATAACTACAATGTTGTTCTCACTATTTGATTTATTGCACCAGACATTATTCTCGCATAAAGAAGCTTTATAGTTGTTGTAACAGCCAGGGTCATTTTAGGTCTCACATGGACGATGCTAGTAATACATTGCGAGTTTGGTCTATCTGAAATATATCGTCAAATTCAGAGTATAAGACGCAGGAAACAGTTTCAGTAAGCGTGCTTGCAAACGTTATTTCCAGTCTCGCGTCTGCATTATGATTGGGGGATAGGTGGTTGTCCTCGCCGAAGTTCGGGGTCAGCTGAAAGCCGTACAAGGCGTATCCGACCGGCCAGTCGTCGCGGTCGAGGGCATTGTCCGAGTCGAGGTCGGCCTTGTCGGCGACTTCAAAGAGACTGCGGAATGCCGTGACGTAGCACTGGGCGTCCAATTTGTGGGGTCGGTAAGGCACGCTGACGTTGTTTACGAACACGCCGACGCTCGATGCGTCGTACGATCGAAAGTTGAAGGGGTCCTAGAGTAAGACCCCGAATAGGCGTCGGCCGCCACCAGTCCCACTATGATCTTTGAGGGGAGCTTGCCCTAGTAGAGATTGTCCCAAATGAAAGTCGATTGATTCACCGGTATGGTGGCGACCTTGACATTAGAACTTGTAAAGGGGTATTTGGCGGGAGACAACTCTAGGGCCTTGTTGTGGCCGACGAGCACGCCCACGTGCACGTTGACCTGCACGCGGCACAGACGGAACATGACCTCCTGCAGCTCGATCCTGTAATCCTGGCTCTGGACCCCTGACATCAATACGAACGGAGTTCTATTCCTGTACAGTTTGATGTCGAGGTCGACACCGTTCAATATGTATCTATTGAGATGACAGACGTCTTCGCACAACCTGCCGACCATGTCGACAGAGGCACTGTTCTTACTGAACTCGTTCCGCTCGAATAGTCCGCTATTGCCACCATCCGGATCCGTCGCGTCCATACTTCCGGGCGTGTCCTGGTAGTAGAGTTGTGCGGTGAGCTGACCCTTTTTCGCACTAAGCCCATAGTTCAACAGCGTCTGTATATAGGCCTTGTACGCGTAATTACCCGAATTCAGCGAGAGAAGCTTCCCTTGCAACGACACCTCCACCTGCCCCCAGAGCGTCTGGAGCGGTAGGTTGATGAAAGTGGTCTGTTCCTTGGGGGAGAGGGGCGTGCCGTCCTGCTTGACGATGCGTGCTTTCACGTACAAAACGCTCCTGTCGAGCGCTATGTAATCGCTAGTCTGACCGGAAATGTGAAACTCTACCGGACCGGTTTCGCAAATCTGGGTCACGGGCCTGCAGTCCACGTAGTACAGCTTCTCCACGGCGACCTGCGTCGGCGGGAGTGAAAATAACATGAGTTCTGCCGGAAGTCCATCTTCCTCCATTACGAGAAATTGGTCTTTCGTCTCTTCTGACGGCGCGTCGCCGTTGACTTCCGTTTCCTCGGGGCAGCCTCGCGTCGGAGTTCCGACTTTGCCTGTTCGACAGTCTGTTGAACGGGGGATACTATACGTATCTCGTCGCGTCGTTTTATGGGCACTATGGAAGCACGTGAGGGACGACGGACGCCGCCACTGCGTCGCTGTGAGCTAGAAGCGGAGGCGGACTTTACAAAGAATCGCGTCCACTTGTCGACGTCCGGCAAATAAACTGTCATGTCAGGTAGTACCTAGGCTTGAAATGCAGAGTCACCGTGACCGGGCGCTTTAGGATTGTCGCGAGTGCTCCGTCTCCCGTCCTAATTGTGACGTCCACAGACCGAGTGTCGCTTATTATCACCGGCAGGTAGTACGGCGACGAATACACGACGTGTTCTGTCTGTTCCGCTCGAACGCGCCTGAGCAGCGGTTTCTGGTCTCCCGCCACGAACACCGAACCAATTAGGTCGCTATACACGAAGAGGTGCGCGTCGACCAGATCTCCCAAGTCGATTTCGCACAGCGCCGCGTACCACGTGCACTCGTTGGAGCGCACGGGGGTGTTGAGCTCGCTCGTGAAGCTGTAGGGTTTGTTAGACGGATGTCGACTCGGGCTGTCGTCGCTCGAGACGATCGCGTAAAAATCCATGGATCAGATATCGGTCGCCGCGTCAGCGTCTATCCAGCTGTTATAATCGCTTGGCTAACCCATCCACTTGACGAGGAGCTGTTTCTTTTTATTGCGTGACCTCGTTCTCAGGACGCGTTCTATACGGTATCGTAAGCTCTCCGGATCGACGACTCTCTGCAGCTCGCTCTCGTAAGCAGTCCCCGTAATCTCCCGGTTGTTATAATCCTTGAGTTTGTAGACCGGTATGTTTTGTTTGTAGTAACGGGCGACGACGGTGAATATCTCCCCGGTGAACGTCTCGTGGAATGTTCTTGTGAAGGTCTGTCTCAGATGAGAAATCCTCACGGCATCGCCCACCTTGAACTTATACACCGACTTCCGTCGTGGCGGTTTTGATCTTTTCAGCGCCCGTTTCCTGTTCTTTTTTTTCTATCCCTCGGGGTAGTAGAGCTTTAACATGATCTCGGCCTCGTTATCGCTGGTGACGTCGGCAGGCGCCATCCCGTGTAACGCGGAATGAGGCGTGTTATTGTAACTCTTGACGATCTCCGGGAGCACGTCCAGGTATCGGTGGATCTGTTTGTGGTTCATGTACCGGAAGAGGCCGTTTCGTAACGTCTTGATCACCCTTTCGGCCATCGCCGCTTTTACGTCATTGTCCGTGACGAAGTGATCTATCCCCTTCCGGCGGAAGTATGCCTCCGTCTTCCGGGAGCAGAATTCGAAGCCCCGATCCGTCCTGATCTTGTCCGGCATCCGCTCCCCGAGCACCGCCTCGAATCCCGCTATCACGGAATCGGCGGTCTTGTTCTTAAGCGGGGCGACCATTAAGTAACGACTGAAGTCGTCGAGGCATATCAATAAGAACCTCACTCCGCTATTGTCGCTGCTGAGGTTGGACACGTCCATCAAGTCGCAGTCGAACTCTTTGTTCAGCCCGGCAGTGAGTATCCGTCGACGGCGGAAGCGCCGACGTACGGGTCGGTTCAGGCTGTAGGGTTCCTGTCTCTGTAACCAATGTCTTATCTTCCTGGGACCTATTTTGTACTTCCCTTCCTTCCTCCCCAGACGATACAGCTGCTTGGGACCTCGGAACGCCCCGGGGTTCGACCAGTCGAAGTATTTGTCGGCGAGGTATCTGTCGACGTCGGCCATGTTCGACGAATGCGCAGGACACCAGAATGACCTCTTTGAGGTCGCACAACTGAGAAAGCGTCTCGGGGGACAAGGCTAGGTCTCGTTTACCCTTCCTGAGTTTGATCCAGCACCGCGTTTTACGCCGCGATAAGGTGACGGTGAGTGTTTCGTCTATAATACAAGCCACCTTGTTTCGTCCTTTCCATTGAACCTCCATGATGAGTCTGTGTCCACTTCCGTTTCTTACCCCCTGTTCTATTTACGTCAGCGGACCGACGCAGAGCGGTTAGACCACCTTCACGCGTCGATTGATCGACAACATCGACCGCGGCGTATTTTCTCCCGCTCCGGAGAAGGTGGTGTACGCCTACGCCCGATGGCAGCCGGCTCTGGACCGATTGGAAGCGGAACGACCAGACGTAATCTTCTTTCACGGTCTACCGGACAAACAACAGATCGAGGCGTGGAGCGGCGGCGGCCGCCGCTTGCTACTTGTCTTGGACGATCTGATATTTAGAATCGTGGAAGACAGGGACTGTCTGGAATTATTCACGGTGGGCGTTCACCACAGCAACATCACGGTGGTTTACCTGTCTCAGAATGTGTTCCCGCCGGGCAAGTACGCGAGAATCATAATGATTGATTGATTGATTGATAGGTTTTACGTCCGCTTCACTACCGGATGTATCGGTTATCCAGCAGACGAAGAACAGAAAGGAAAAAGAGTAGAAGGGATAAAGTATGGAGTAAAGAGTAGAAGAGGGGGATAGATTAGATAAAGAGCCGTCTATCCTATATATATTAACTGTCTAGTTTTTGTGAGACGACTCCTATGCCTAATAATGCCTTAACCTAACACTCATTGTGAAGCATCACCAATTCTGGACCGGAAGTGAGGTACTGTGCCGCCGTCAGCCCCATCAGCCCCGCCTAAGTTTAAGAATTTGGTTTATGTATAAAATTTGGAAGTCCTTCTAAATATCTTAATAAAGAGACCCTACCTTTAAAATTTGAATAAATTTTTCCTATCCTCTGAGTCGGCGTGTACGCGCCTGCTCTTATTCGAAAAACCCAGAGGGATTTTTTCCGTGCGAAATTGGACAGTTCTCACACGGGCCACCATTTATAGTCCCATCCGACGGACTGGTTGTTAGTGATTAGTGTCATGCATGTGCTGAGTTGTTGTTGTTTTTTTGGTGTCCGTTCCTTGAATTCCTTTCTTCATCATTCTTCACTGATTATATACTTGACTGAACTTATACCAATGTCATCTTTCTTAGATACCTCGACTTGTCTTTCACTTAATTCTGCTCCTCGTTCCGACATTTCTAGTTTTTAGTGTATAGTGTGATTATTAGTATGGGAAAAGATGAAACACGTGGGGAGGGGAGGGGGGAGATTTAGTGCTAGGATTTGGATATAGAATGGATGGGAGTTGGGGGGGAGGGGGAGGGGGGTTGGAGGTTTGAAAGAGGTGCTGGGTGTTAGAAATGTGCTGATTGATGTATGGGCTTTTTCAGATGTTAGTTGTATGGACCGGGTTGGTGTTGGGGACTATTTGTGGGAGGGAGATGGATAGGTAGTTGGAGGATATTTGGTTGTTGTTGTGTTTACTTTTATGTGTATAAGATCATGTTGCCATATGTTTTAACTTATTATAGATTGTTATTGCTTGGATAGGATGTTATATTACTCTTATTGGCTGTGTCAGATAAACCGATATTGATTTTTAGTTCATTATTCGCTTATCCCGTTATTCCTACCTAACTAATAGGTCCATGTAGCACTGTTGGCCTCCCTCCTTTACCCGCGCTAACCTAGTGGGATTTGACGCCGAATGAGCGAGAGGACCTATTTTACGGGTCGTATTAAACAGTTTATAGTGGTAATACAGTTCTATCCTATTTTATATCCACCGTTTAAGCTTTGAACAATCTAAAAACGGCGTACCGCTTCAGATTGTACATCGCCCCACGATGGTACATATATATGTATCCATTTGTAGGAACTCATGTATACATATATATGAGCGGTTAGATATAAGATTGCTGTGGGTTGGCAGACTCGTTCGTAAACGGAACTACCGGCACGTGGTCAGAACACATACGTTGCAGCATTCTTATAACAACCGTAGGTGAAATGTTTTATACTTTAATAAATGTTTAATAGTTTTTGTAAGGTTATTTTACTTTGTTTATTATTATGAATGATTGGATATTGCCATTATTACACTATTCGCTGTGTCAGATAAACAGATATTGATTATTAGTTCATTATTTGTTTATCCCGTTATTCCTACCTAACTAATAGGTCCATATAGCACCATTGGCCTCCCTCCTTTACCCGCGCTAACCTTGTGGGGTTTGACGCCGAATGAGCGAGAGGACCTATTTTTCGGGTCGTATTAAACAGTTTATAGTGGTAAAACAGTTCTATCCTATTTTATATCCACCGTTTAAGCTTTGAACATTCTAAAAACGGCGTACCGCTTCAGATTGTACATCGCCCCACGGTGGTACATATATATGTATCCATTTGTAGGAACTCATGTATACATATATATGAGCGGTTAGATATAAGATTGCTGTGGGTTGGCAGACTCGTTCGTAAACGGAACTACCCGCACGTGGTCAGAACACATACGTTGCAGCTATCCTATAACAACCGAGAGTTGGTTTGTTTTATGTTTGTTTTTCCTATTTAAGTATCCTTTATTATGACTTGATTTTTTATCCTGCTTCCATCCCTTGTTTTTAAAGTGACTTTCCCACCTGCAGGATGTATGAGATATATATTGCTATAAACGATTTTCGCTAAGTCACTTTTGAGTTATTTCCCTTGTTCTAAGGGCTTCGAGGGTATATTGTTTTGTTTGTTGATTTGTAGAATAGGTGAATTGGGATTTTTTGGTTTTTAGAATCTAGTTCTATCAAATATAAATGATTAAAGAATATTAAGAACCTTTTTCTATTCCTTTATTTGATGTTAAAATAACTACCATTAACTGATATAAAAATTAAGGATATTGCGTTACATTTCATAGCTTATGGTAAGGAGTAAAGCATTTAAAAAGAGTTATTTCCCTTTGATCAGTGATTTTAGGTCCATGATTCTATATCCTGTCCAAATAATCTGTTTTGCTTAAAAAATTTATCAGAATTTTATGTATTAATCTTTCGGATTCTTTGTTAGCTAGGAG